ATAAAGAACAATTGTTTAATTGTGTACATATAAAATTAAAGGTAGAACATAAAAAAAATGAAATAATGCGTTTAACATTTTTTCAGTTGCTCTTTCTCGGCGGAACATTTCAATTAATCACTCTTACTACTTAGCACGCTAAAGGATGTAAATATATTGTATTATGTGTCACAACCGACTTCACAGTTGCACATCTGTAATTTGCCGTTGAAAATAGTGCCGCATCCCCGAGCGTGCCAAAGTTGACATCATGAATGATTAATTCGTATTCATCTACATTGAAAGCTCTTTAAACTCGCCATACTCACTTCAAAAATAGTTCTCCTTAGTTTATTTACGTAATATCTGTTATTGTAAGAGAACGCAATCGGTCATGGACACAACTCCGCGCGAGAATCGAACAATTTTAATCGGTAGCGGGAGTTATTAAGTCTTAATTTTTTCAGGTATATACACTGACGATACGTCTACGGTAAACTTGGGTGTCTTTGGCTTCGGACCTTTTCGGTATTTGTTTACACTGTGCAAATTTACCGTAAACTTTGAAATATCTATGGATATAGAATAGAAAATGATTAACAAGTGGAAACATGGCCATAGGTATTTAACAAATACCGAAAAACCGTGCCAAAGCCAGCCAAGTTTACGGTAATACATTATTTGCGATCGAAGTTACGAGGAGAGTAAGTGAAGCGGTTTTTGGGCAACGATATCAAGACGCAATACCCGTGTGAGTGCGTATGTGCCCCTGCAGCAGCCACGGCCTGGAGAAACACTTGCCGCAATAGTGGCACTTGCATCCCTGATTGTGGGTCCTCACGTGCATGCTGAACGCCGGCATGCTGACGTAGACCTTGTCGCAGTGCGGGCACCTCCTGGCCTTCTTATCGCCCAGCGACCTGTGCGTCTGACGGTGTCTGGCCAGATTCGAGGAGGTCGAGTACTTCTTGCCGCAGTCGGGACACTCGTGATCCTCGTCCTCCGGCTTGGGCTCCCCGGCGGCCGTTCTGCGGCCTTGGACCGACGCGGTGGAAGGCACGGATACCGGATCGACGTCGATACCGGGGACGACCGGTACCTTCGAGTGGCACGATTCCTCCTGCGAGGTGCAAGAAGGATGCCGCGGCGAGAGGCGAATCTCCAAGGCGGCGCTCTCCCCGGAACGGGTCTCCAGGATCTCTCTCTCGGTCTCGATCCGCTCGAAGAAGAACCTCGTGCGCTCGCCCAGGACCTGGTCCTGGTTTCCCATCACTTGGACGGTAGGTCGAGACCCAGGGGTCCTGCTGGCCTCCGCGGGATACTGCGCGATCCTGGGCGACGCCGGTCGATGGTAGACGACATTGCTGTGGTGAATCAAGGTGCCCGCCGCCGCCGCCAGGCTCACCTCCGCCAGCTTCGTCAGGTTGTACAGCTCCTCGGGACACTCGGACGACGTCTCGCTACCGCACTCGCTGGCGCCATCGGAAGTTGGTTGACCGCCGCTGTAATCGGCCAGCCTCACGCTCCTCTCGGGGCTGAAGTCTGTATGAGAACGAAAGACGAGGTGGTATTCAAATTTTTTTTAAATACTCTAGCGAAATCTATTAACGATTTTTAATTTAACCGACAACTTTCTGGCAATTACGTCTGTCGTTGCATGTCGTATGCAGGTGCAAGTAAATTTGTTAACAACACCTCCGGCAGATCCCAACTGGTGAGCAGGGAAATCCGGCGCCGGCACATAAAACACCTTCGGGAGCAGGGATCAGTCTCGCTCGCTGCTCCGTTTTCGGGGAGAACGGAAATAGAGTAGCTGCGCCACCAACCCCCGCCCGCCCGTCGTTTCCCGAGCGTGTTTATTCTGTGTATTTCGTAGTACCGCATACGTGTACGCACACGCGTTGCGTTCGCGCGAGGAAGCTCGCCTTGCCCGCGGTGGGGTTGACGGCATCGCGGCGGTATGCGTGTGACGCATCTAGCGTCTCCTATTCTTAAATTCGCGCGACACAGCACCTTGATCGCGAAGCAACGACCAGTACATTTCCCCGGCTTAAATTCAGATCGAGAAAGGGGAGAATGTTGATCGTCGCGTGTAAAAGAAATCGAGATCTCGCCGTCGCGATTTTTATCCCTCTGTGAAAAAGGCCGAATTGAATCTCGCGGTTTTAACGGATGACTCAGATATTCATTTACTTTGCTGATGCAGTAAAGATATCCGTGACCTTATCACTGCCATCGATGCGCTAAATAGGAATTTTCAAGGCAAACTTGCCACCTTGTAATATGTCGATATTATTTTATTGTTTCTATGTTAAATTATCGTGTCAGTGTTACGTGATGAGTGCAATAATTTTTTTCGGAAATGTTAGGATTTTATGTTTTCTCATCTGCGCGAAAATTACGTGAAAGGTCAATTAATAATAGTAAGGCACGAGAAAATTATTCATCAGCTAAAATTGATAAACGATTAAATTCAAATGTCGTAACTCTTTTGTAAAAAATCAATTCGAATTATCCAGCACAATTGAGAGTTATTTAGGAAAGATGTCGAAATATTTATTTTGAATTTAAAATTAATGTACAAAGTATACAAAGAGTAGAACATTTTAAATTGCATATTTCCAAATAGGACAGACTTAATTAGCCAATAAATTGAAACAATTAAGAGTAAATTTAATTGAACATAATAAAACAATTCAAGGTTCAAAAAAGTGAAAACAAAGGAGAAAAGGGGGCTAGTGAAGAAATGTGCTAAACGATATAACAAGCGTTTTAACCTTAAATAAAGCCATCTTCGGTGTATAATGATAGAGCCAATAATTACATAAATAAGCAGTAAATATCTAGTCATAAAATACACAAAGGCAGATAGAAACGTTTATCACATTATTCTTTAGCTTTATTTAACTTATACTATTTAGCACGTATGTATATCCATTTGGCTCACTAGTCCTCTTAATTAGTAAAATAAATTCAACCACGGTAAAACGAAAATTAACTTTGTTAATTTCTCTTACAAATTTTGAATTAAGAGTCTCACTTGATTGCCTGTATATTCTGACTCATCAATTAATTAAATTCACGCTTTGCAAACGTTTTCATCAAAGCCGCGCCAAGCTAACAATATACCTCTTTCAGATCCCGCGATCTCTTCTTCGGCACCGTTGTACCTGCGATGCGTGATCAGGAACGCTCGCGGCATCTTCTTCGTCGTCCTCGATTTTTCTCCTCAGATCACACAAGTCATGCTTATCAACTCAAGAGACTCACAAACCAACACACTCGTCGCACCGACTACTATCTACGATAAAGGGGTGACAACGCGAAGACGAGGAGTACCGACGAGCACGGTATCAAGAGGAAGGATTACGGTCCGTTTGGAAGCGTGTACGTCGAGTGACGGCGCGGGGGTTGCGTTCGCTTCGGCAATTTCGGGCGCAATAGTTGCCCCGGCTAGGATTCGGGGCTACATATAGCAGCGCAACCTCCCTCGCCCTCCACCTCCACCGCTGCCGCCGCCGCGGCGCTTTTCGTCGTCGTCGTCTTCTTCTTGTTCCTCTTCTTCTTCTTCTTCTTCTTCTTCAGCTGCACGCGCCTCTGAAGCGTGCCCGCCCGATTCCCTCCCGCGCATGTGGTGGTCCCATTGGTGTGTCGGCAATATGCGACACGCGTGGCGAGTGCGTATGACCCACGGAGGAGGGAGCGGATGAAAGACCACGCGCGAGGAACACGGCCGGTCCCTGTGGTTCGCGCAGGGTGGTTGCTAACTACCCTTATCTCCTCTCGACGAGTTGTCCCGTCTCATTATCGTTCATTATCGGACCCTACCAATTGGAGCAATCGTTGAGTCAAATGCGAAATTGATTGCGTAATTATCGTTGATATTACGATTACCGTGGTGATTCTTAATTATGATTTATCGTCAACAGAATTACGTGGAAAAAGATAGCAAGGAACACGCATAAGTAGTTGTTGAATGTTCAGTATTATCGACTTGAAATACCACTCGTACAGCTTTGTTTCATTTATCTGTCGAAAGATCTTTAAATGACAGCACGGGTATTTATCGCATATTGAATATCATGCAAAATCTTAAGCAGCCCTTTTTGTGTCATTAAGGACATTTTAGGAAATGAGATGCGTTTCCAATGTATAAATTTTGATAATGGAAATTTTAGGTTTGATTGAGACGCACATTTATTATCTGTATTTGTTGCAGTAAGAGATATGCAGTGCGTCCGAAATGGACACCGTCATTTCATTATCGTTTCTAAGTCCTGAAGTTCGAAACTTTCTTCACTCTAATCTTCTACTTTTGCCGATGCCATTTTGAGTTTTTGCAAAAGAAACCGAAAGGGAGAGAAGTATGCGAATCTTGTATGTTCAACGAATTCGATGGAGCTGGGCACTGCTCGTCGATCTATCTGGATTGTGTTATTTAAACAAAGGACGGGCAGCTATGATAACGGCGCCATTTCGTCGGCGGTTACAGGGTAGAAGCACAGGTTGGTGCGCTGGGTGGTTCTTCTGGCGCGACGCCAGGCGTCCGCCGAATTTAGCACCGCGCTGCTGACTAACTCGCGTGGCATTCATTCAATCGTCGACCAAAAAGCCCCGCTGCCTGTATAGTATCTTGCTCTTTGCGCGAAATGCGTGTCCTAAGGTGATAAGGAAAAAGAGAGAGAGAGATCAGGTTCTGATCTTCCTAAAGCTTATTCAAGCCCGAGTGCGAAATATTCGACAAATTGGAGAACATGTGATACTCCCCGGACGTTGCTTTTTCCGAACGATTTTGTAATGCTAATTTTTTCTCGTTTTGAAAAATCATTTATTATTTTTTACATAAAATCGTTAAACGCGGTGAATACTTTACATGACGGATGAATGAAAATTTTAAACTTTATTCCGAAATAAGGGGATATTTGAAAATTGTATTCATGTTCGGAAACAGATGATTATTTAATTTAATCGAGAGAGATCAACTCTCTCTCTCATACATTCAGTTAACATATGCAATTATAAACGTCGAAGCTTATACACTCGTTCCTCAAGAATATCTGCGATTTCTACGACTCAGCGAATGATTCACAGTCGACCATTTGCCGCTCGATATATTTATTCTATCCCACGTCATTTCGCCACGCTGCGCAAAAAAAAAGAAAGATGCTTGAAATTTTCCAGGGTGGAAAAGACGGCAAGTGCTCACTGCGGACTGTCTGTCGTAAGCTTTCGGATGAGACGTGCGATCGCGAGAAACCTCTAGATGGGAGGCTGCGGAACAGGTGTCTCGGCGGCGGTATCGTAAATCGTCGACGGTATCGTCGTCGAACGGCCAAAAATAAAGTCACGAGTTCCGAGCGCATCGGGCGGGCGCGAGGGCATCCTCAACCACTGACGCAATTCGGCTGCGGATCATCCATTAACGTAACCGGCACCAATAGGCACCTCGTGGCTTTCTACGCGCTTTATCCGGCGGCGCATCCTACAGGTGCCCAAAGGTATTCCGTCCGTCCGCCCACCAGCGCGACTCGCGTATTTTCGGCGCTCTTGGAGCGCTCCCAGATGCGGAGGAGGAGGAGATCAGCGCGCGACGTCGCCGGGAACGATAGCGAGGAAGGGAATTCTTCGCGGATAAATCGCGACCGCGGTCACGTGCGGGTCCACCGAAAGAATACTCGCGGCGACGCGAAGGAACGAGACTCGATTAAACCACGGCGCCGGAGCGTAGAATCGACGAGGTCTGAACGGTCTCGACGACAGTCTGCAGAACGACCGCGTGGTAATAAATTACACCGTATGATTCATACGAGTTTACTAAATCGGGACAAGTTTGTCAGGGGGGTACTTTCCAATTTTAGGCAATTTCTCGCCTGAGAAAGATGGATAAGTGCGGGGGCGGATACAGTTTTTGCGTCGACGGCGAGGACACCGAGTCATTAGGGGTGGATTCCACGGGGGGCGGCGGGATCGTTTAGGACGAGAGCTGACGAGAGAGCGCGACTGTATCGTGTGTCGCGTCACGTAAAGTACCCGGATACGCGCGGGTCCTCCTATAAATCAGCGGCCTTCCGCGCGCCACCCTCTTCCCCTCGCGCCGGTGGCAAGTACTTTCCGCGTGCCGGAAAAAAGGGAAAAGCACGCGATCGCTATTTAAAAGGCTCGTTATAGGTCGACTTTCCTAGCGGTCGGAGTATGCACGAAGGCGACGAGGAGAGAGGAAGAGGGAGAGAGAAAGAGAGGACTTGGAGACTTCGCCGCTCCTCCGGCGGCCTCGGCATGGGGTTGCCGTGCTATTTTCGGGCCCCGCTGGCTCGATGCAGCTGTCGCGGTCTTCGGGTAAACCACCTCTCTTCTATTCCACGGCCATCCTCGAGGCGCGACAAGGTAGGCCGAGGAGATCGGAATCTAGAATCTCGCGACGACACTCGTCCGCTGGCGAATTTTTCCTCCGACTCGTACGTTCGCCGAAGATCGACGTTCGCCAAACTTGTCCCTCGGTGACGAGCAAAGTCGAGCGAATTCGTCAGCCGTGGCAGAATTTTTTATTACATTCGTACGCTAGAGAAATGAGCCAAGTTGTAATGAGCGAAAATTATAGCGCGCCACTTTCAATAATTAATTTTCCGACTCTTTGCCGCTGTGCATGTCGAGTTAAAATTCCTTGGGACAATCTCTATAAAATATTGTAATCACGGTAGGATTTTGCGATAAATCACTTAAAAATCTTGCAAAGCCGTTGCTATCAGCCTGTCGTAATTTGAAAAATGTCTTTAACAAAGCATACATGCAGATTGCAACCGTGTTCGTGATTTAAAACTTTAAACAGGGAACTTGTAGTCAACCCAATTTAATTTAACAAGCATGTGCCAAATAGAATCGCGGCGAGAGTAGAAGAGAAATCGAAGCGCGGCACCAGACGGCCGACTGAAAAAGATCCGCGCGATCACCAAGATTTGCGGCAACGCATCAGATATCGCGAAATAATAATCAGCCCCGCGAAAGAATCTTCGGGGCTGAACACGCGTGCGTCTAGGAGTCGTAATCCGGACGAACTGTCCGGATTCCGAGAATAGCAATACGATGATGAGGACGCGCTTCCGCGAAACGCGGTGCGTCGCGTCGGGGGGACGGGCGGGGAGGAGGGAAGGAGAGCGGAATAAAAGTCCGTGGGCCGTCTTCCGCGGAGGAGCGCGCCCACCGGAGGATGAGGGATGAAGACGAGGCTGAAGATAAGCCGGAGGCGAAGATCTGGCCGGGCGCCAAGGCGTCAGATTTTCAGCCGTTTACGTGTACCACCAACTTTCCCGTCTGCGCTTTCCTTCGGCTCCCCTACGCGTCCTCTAGGATCTAGGGTGCAATGACACCGCGGCGCGGCTTAATGACTATTCTCTATTCACGGTGTATGTGAATCATTATGCGGGAATTAGGCGTTGCACGCGCCTCGATGTAGTCCGGCCGCATTGTCGCTGTTTTTAGGCTCGCGAGCGAAAGGGGAAGACAATGCGCCGTAGTAGCCACGTAGATGATAGACGGATGATCCGATCTTGCCTCTGGATCCAGTTTCACGTAATGAAGAAGGAATTACATATATGCCTATTGAAAATGCAAAGTGAGTGAACAGTGACAAAATATACATATATAATCAGGCAGCTCTGTGAAAGTATAGACGAAACGTATGAAGATCAGTGAATTACAATGGTACCGCAATCCTAACTGTGTTAATTTCTTTGCAGTTGAAAGAGCGAGGATAAAAATTACAAAATTGCGCGTACACGCGAATTAGTGAACAACAGACATCTGAGAATACAAGTGAAAAATATTTGGACACGGCGAAGAAATATAACGGGTTGATACTTTCGATGGATTGAGCAGGGCTTTTTTTTGGGGGGGGGGGGGGAGGCCCGAGGAGTGCCCGTGGAAAAAAAAACGTCGACCGGAACGACTCTTAATTTAGTTCTGGGTGCAAGAGGTTAACGCTGGGTGGAGACGTCCGTGGAAGCGCCTCCCCTTAGGGGAGAGCACCGTAAGAACACGTTGGCTCGTGTTCGGAGGAATGTCCTCGGGGATAAAGGGAGACAGTTCCTTCCGGAGACAACGATCAGCCGCCTGTTTCATCCCCTCTCCCTCTCGTCGCGATCGCGTTGCTATTCTTGCACCGCCATCGGTACGAATTCGGCTACTTGCCCTTCGCCTCGGTACCGCTGGAGGGCTCCCTCTCGACGGGAAGCTGTCCAAATGGTCATTTGATATTCAGCAAAATTCCACGCGCTCTGGTTGTCATGCAAGTTTCTATACGCAATACATTTATACCACGTTGGTACACGATGAGTTCTTTTGTCACTTGCTGTTTTACTTGTTGCAATCTCTCTTCCTCTCTCATTTATTTTGCATCGGATGATTGATATAGTTGTCCCTTTTATTTTCGTATTATAGTTTCGAATAATATCAATGATAACTTGATTATTTTGAATTTATATATATTATTTTTAAATAAAACCCCTTAATTTTGTGTGTGTTTCAGAGATAGATTACAATATACCTTGACGTAATCCAAAGGCGAGATCTCTTTTCAGGACACGATTGCACCCTCCTCTTTCACTCGTGTCTATTTATCTATTCATCTCCAAGTTCGGTTCCTGACGCTTCGATCGAAATCGCAGACGCCTCGTTCTCCAGGCAGTGTAGGGTTTCGTCGTAAAACTCGTAAATGAGCCCCCGTGACTCGCGCTTTTGAATGGAAACCGACGGGGCCGACGGTTTTTACGAAAGCTGCCACAGGATGCGGGTGCGCGCAACGGAGAAGGGGTGGCGACGCTCATTTTCGTTCTTTTTGGCGTTTTTTTTTCTCTGACTCGCCTCTCCCTCGGTCTTGCGAAGATCGGAGAGAAAAGGGAGAAATATCGCCAGCTGATCGCGCCGCCAACGTCGCCGCCACCGCCGCCACCGCCGCCGTTTCTGAAAAGAGGGCCTCTCGCAAAATGCGAGCACGTGCTCGTATGCGTGCGCCCTTCGTTTTCGGTTTTGCATGCCTGCTTGCCACCTGCGAAGACGAACTCGCGATGTACCGCAGTCTGACCTGGTCGCAATTAATGCCCGGGTACTCCACTTTCTGCAGCCTCCTTTGTCTCAGGACCGCGTGGATTGACAGAAGAATCTAATTTGTACAAAATTTGTTCTTTAGAAGCTTTTTTAATTTAGAAGGATATTTTCTAATTCAGAGAGAGAGAGAGAGAGAGAAATTATCTTAATACAAATATTTAAGCAACTTTTAGGAACCAAAATACAATAAATCTTTACAATAAAAAATGGACGATATAAAAATCACGTACCAAATAATGTTTTATGATGTAGAGCTCAATTTTTAATGTAACATGGATATTCAAATGTTAGCATCTGATTCAGATATCGCCAAGAAAAAGAGATTATCAGTCATCTATGTATCTCACTGATCACAGAGCTAATTTCTCACCCGAAATGTCGGGAATGTTGATGACTTCCGTTCTCGCTTGTAACATCGGGGAAACTCGTGATTTTCACGCAACTAATGTGAGAGTCTGTTCGCTCTTATTGCCAACACTGATTCTGCAAAATATCATTTTCTAGAGTAGAAGAACAAGATGTGTCAAGCTGCTTCTGCTTGGTCAAGGCTATACATTTGCATACCAGCGTCTTTATTCTCTTTCTTTCATCGCTATTGCCCAGGCGGTCCTTATGGAGCGTGGTGGCAGGAAAAGGAAGTGAACTAGACGGCGAACGACTAAGGTCATGGTCTCAAACGATACAGTGACAAATTCGAGCAAATATCAATTTAACGGATTATTGATATATCTATATATCTATATAGATTTATATATATATAGACACACCAATAATTTGTTAAATTGATACTCGGTACATATCAGGAAACATAGATTTTCATAGTATTGCATTTTAATTGAAAAGGACTGATCAAATTTGTTTCTTCTTTACCTTAAATTCAATTTCCCCTCTATCTCAAGCGAGCATCAAACGTCCCCGCTTCATTTATCATGGTGATGAAGGAGACTCTCATCGATCTATTAAATCTCCCCGTGATTTTATTCGATACGTGTGTCGACGGTTGATCTTCATCGCCGGCGGAAACGCTATTGTCTGAGCACATCTCCTTGTCAGGCCCGCGCCGCTGGAAAAACGGCGAAGGAGGGCGGTTAAAGGGACCCGGAGAGGGTCGCAGACACACCAACCGAGTCACCGGTGGCAATGGGCACGCGACCGACACGCGCCCGCTCTCCCCAACTCTCCCCCCGTCGTCTCATCTCCGGGCTCGAATTCCCTTTTCCACCGCCTTCCCTTTAACACGCGTGCGTCTACAAGACGCATGCGACCCACGCACGCGATCATCCCGGGGGCTTTACGCCCATATGGGATCTCAAAACATCGGCAGCAGCAATAATCGACAGCCCGTTTTGCCCCAGGGCGATTTAATCGAGCTTTTTATAAGCCTAGGGTGTACAAATTTTATATACAATATATATATGTGTATGTGTGCGTCTTAAAGTTAAAATTTAGAAAATGTGAATATTTCATCTCTTAGAAATTTAATGAGCAAGAAAGTAAATGTTTTTTTAATAATTATTAGATATTGGCGTATTATGAATAGTAACGACTGGACAAAAGATATATGCAATTAATAGAACTAGTATATTGAAACGCACGACAAGAACCACTTGGCCATTTGTTATTATGTTATATTTGTTAATACTGCGTAGAAATTCACGAGTGTCTGACACTATTGTTGTCCGGTTTTTCATTTTCTGATTAAGTGTTAACCAGAAGTTAGTCGACTCTCCGTTTTCTTCATTGCTATTATGTAAGTAGAGACAAAGAATCGACTAACCACTGGTCAACAATTAACTGCAGGAAATGAAAAACTGGACCCACATGGTAAGAGTCGAAAATTAATTCTGTATTTCTTAATTACCCGATTTCATGGTATAATTATTTCGAGATGTGCGGCTTGACGCAGGGAGGAGTTGGAAATAATTCGTATAAACACCGCGTGCGTCACGATGTGCCTTGTGTAGCGGTTATAATATTAGACACCCGGTGGACCCGCACATCTCTCGCGTTCGTTGATATCTCGCCGCTATAAGATCCACGCGGGAATATCGCGCTGTACGTGCGTGCACGGTTTCGGATGCGTGTGCGTGCCCATTCAGAAACTCTTCTTTCTAGTGGCCCATTGAAGAATCCAGCCGCGAGCCGGTGCGCCCGTTAAGCCGCGTTATCTTAACACTTTGAGGCCCCCGAAGCTACCGGATTTGTACCTTGCCACTCGCGTTTTCCGGAACTCACGAAACGACCTACCAACTAGACAACGTCGTATTATGAAGTCTACACGAAGGTGATTTATGTTGGAAGCGGCCAGCCTCACAGATTTCGTCAAAGTCGATTTACTTGGAATGCGATTGATTAAGAATTAAGTATACAGGAAAGTCCCCTATTATGAGATAGGACCCTAATATCGGATAGCAGGGGTTTCTGTTAAATTAATAGGCATCATCTGTTGGTTCCACAATGAATGTATTGCTCTTGGAGTGAAATCTGTTTAGTGGAAAATTAATTGTTAGATCGTGTAATCGTTGCGAAACAAGATTTGCCATTGAATGTGGACGTTAAAAACCTGCTATCTCACATTAGAAGCCTATCTCATAATGGACTTTTCTCTGTACAAAAATATTTTACATTTAAAAATTGATATCGTGATTAATTAAAAATTCGACTTATACCGTTTATACTCGGCTTACATGTATGCAAAAGATGAATTTCGTTTTAAATAAATTGAATGATGTTCGAATGATTACGGGGATGCATCTAGTCGTTACGTGGGACATACTTAGCGATCGAAGCTAGCAAAAGAATGATTAAGGTCGATGAAGACGAAAATGCGATCTGTCGTAACGAGGGAAATCGGACATCTCTAAGTTTAGCTCCTATTTGCATGCAGATCAGGGACGGATTCGAGCTGCCAAGGTGTCATAACGTGAAAGAATCGATAAGATTTTTTTTTAACGGAGACATCCGAAGAAGGTATACGAGAGACTCGTTAAGCGTTAAATCTTTTTCGTGCTGTTTTAATCCAAGAGGTGCGACGCAGCGTTTACGATTTTCGAGCTTGTCTAAGAAATATTAAATTCTCAAATTCCAAATCTTATTCTGGATAAATTATCGAGTTCTTTAAACGTTAAAATTTTTGTAATCGTCCGTTAGATAATTGTGCAAAATTATTTCGATATAATTGAATTAACGTGCTGCTTAAATTAATCCGATTGTAACTTTATCATTCGTTCTGACGTTAATCCGTCGTTTGGCAAGCCTCTAGGAAAGTGTCGATGTTGCACGAAGATATTCCTTATATACGATCTAGAAATACTAATTTCGGAATCGTACCCCACCAATTTATCTCTCGCCCATTGACGAAAGCACGGCATGACAGGAAGTGAGGCTCTCGTGACGATTGTCGGTTTCCGGACAATTGCGTTTGCCTGATGATTGTTATAGATCAAATACCGTCTACTGAAAAATAAAGCGGCCAGGCCACGTTAGCGAAACGATAAAATAGGACAAAGGAAACATTTTTATACGATGAGACAGAAGATTGAGTCAAGATACGAGAAAAGATACATTTGTAGTAAAACTAATTTACGAATTTATAATAGAATTTCCACCGATTTCTACGCCGACAAATTTGATAGGAAAAGTAATTATATAGTTAATTACACATGTGCGTAAGTTATTTATGCAACTCTTATGTAAAATTGCAAGCGCGGCATTCGCCTAATTTTATGCTTCTGACGCCGTAATTGAAGACATCTCGCGCAGGTGTGGCAAGTCCTTAATAGAAATAGCAAGTAGAACGATCGCACATGGTAGAGCGTTAATAGAAAAATCTAATTTACTGGAAGATATGCCAGCAGAGAGACAGGCACTTCAGGCTCCGAGTCGAAATATCGCAATTTCGCACGGTTACAACGAGTTTAGAGGCGGGTTTTGGCTGATCACCAACGATTAAGCGATATCTACAAGACAACGACGATGATAGCGAGCGCTTGGCATGGCGCGGATCGCGCCTGTGTGTATATCGCGACTCGATTTAACTATCGCCGTTTATATTATGTCCGTGTCTACCTGTCGTCGGCAGCGCAAGAATCCGTGGATCCGGCCGATGCCAATGATCGAAAAATAGACACGGGCGCAACCTGTTCGAAATAGCCGAAGTGAAACCTATGACACGCGGAGCGCGTGGCTCCTTCAAACTGCCGCGATACGCCGCCCAAACCTGCGGACCGTCGATTAATCCATAATATAATCAATATTAGAGAATCTAACGTGAAACATTTACTATTAACTTCTGAATTTATGAGAAATAAGCTTGGTTGAATGAAATATGTAGTGTCTATTCGGTTAAAGACTCGCGTACTGCAAACTGAAATATTTTCTTCTAATCTCCCTTTTAATTCCCTTCTTCGCAGGTCAAGAGATCACTCGCGGCCGCGAAGGTGTCTAAGACCAAAAGGAGGAAGGAAATCTAATTATAGAAGTCGTTGTACCGCGTGCTCGGCGGAGAACCATGGAGGGTGTGAGTGCGGGTGCACGAATAAGAATCGGTTGTGCATTGGGCGGCCATAAAATGCAGTCTGCATCCGCTCGACGCAGATGTACCGCGGAACGGGGTTCGTTCCTCCTACGAGGAGTCCGCAAAGGATCTCTCGTTTCGGCGTTGGGCGACCTACCGAGATATGTGCCCGGTACAATGAACTAGAATGAAGATCCGCGAGACGCGATTAATCGAACCGCGCGCGAGAGACTCACGGCTTCTCTCTTTGAGCCCTCCGGACATCCTCCTGATATCGCCCGGATGATTAAAGTCCGGATTTGAGTACATTGCATCCGCTGCAATCTCCGCGCACACGCACATTTGCTTTACTTTATTTATATCGGGATTATCCCAGTGAGAAATGATTCGTCGATCGATGTCGGAGACATCGAAACCGTCAAATTGACATCGATTCGACGAGCCATTTTTCGCTGGGACAAATGTGTGAAAGAAGCGCGATAGTTTACGAACAAATGATTCCTAAAGAGAGACGGTATCTCTGTGTGTACATGAATAATTATTTATCTAAACGCTCAGTATCAATTTATTCGCGATAGCGTAAGATAACGAGGGTGCTTGAGTTATCTTAAAACAAATCGAACACTTGAAATGGGTATCGAGGACGATATTTTCAAGAGTCGATTCTTCAATCATAAAAGTAATGAAAATGAATTCAGCATATTAAGTATCGCACGCTCGATAATCGTCAAGATTATTATCATCGGTTCTCAACTTCATTGAGAACTATTCCAGCACGTTATCTTGTACATGGGCATGACTTTGTTCATTACGCCATTCATTCATTCGGGAGCCATGTGGTTCATTGCTAACCCGTGCGGCACTTCCTGTCTCGTACAGTGATAAAAAAAAGAGATTCTAGCACTTCGCGCCGAGTTTCACATTAGAAAAAAATCACGAGGACAGTTCAAAATAATAAAATATGCAAGCGTGCGTATAAAATGTAACAAAAAAAAATGATTTCTTCTACATTTTGCGTCTGTGCTTTGCTCAAATTAATTTAAGAGTCAATCAAGGATAGTCTTGATAATCATTTCTTTATATTTAGCCGCGATACCCAAAATGACGCGAAGAAAATTTGTCGTACAAAGTTGTATATCCCCCTCTCCCCCGCAAAGAGATGGAATCCTCACTCTTTTTCGTAGCTACCATTAGTCTCCTTTCAATTTCGCTAATATAAGCTCTCGCCAATCATTCCTGGAGCAAGGTCCGATCGCGCCGTATACGTCGACGGGTCCCAGCTGCTAGATCTCGCGCGTGATCAACTCGTGCCGGGCAGGCTGCGATTATTATTGTTTCCCTTTTTTCTCTGCTCTCCCTCTCTCTCTCTCTCTCTTTCTTCATAATTCCCTATCTCTCTCACTTCCGAAGTAACCGAGTGTGTGCCCGTGACGTGGCCATGTAAGGGCTAGGCGGGGGTGCCATGCCGGGAGCCGCTAATTTTAGATCGACTCCCGTGCTTCCAGGAGTCGACTCGGCGAATCGGCAGCTGGTGATTCGACGAGCCGCTGCCTCGCGCGCGTGCACGTGGGTCCGGTGTACAATGCGTGTCGCGCAACGTCCACCGGTCACACCCCCTTCTCCCCCTCCCTCCTCGCTCTCTCGTCTCGGAGAAGGCCGACGTGTCCGATCGTCCCGGTCCAGATGTATCTCGCGATCCCTCCCCCTCCGGGACATGCGGCCGCAATCGATCAAGAAAGTCTTCTCGCTGCAGCGTCGTCAAGAAATTGCCTTGGGTACCGAATTTCAATGGTTCCTGTAAATTCAAATCGTAAATATAAATATAAACGTACAATTCTTATTAGGTCTATAATTTTTACTTTTATTATACTACGTTTATGAATTATTGTATATTAATGAATTCACTAAGTTCCCAACTGTGCAGAGCGGAACGCAATGTCAGCGGGGAGAACCGGAAATGGAACGGAGACTTTGAAAAGCGTCAGAGAGCTCACCGCGGGATGGAAGCGCACCCGAGACGCATCCTTTCGCTTCCGACGTGAAAAGGGGAAATGAAGGCGCGCACGCGAGCGTTCCTTTGAGCGCGAACCGAGACGGCAGGGGGTAAACGGGAGAGATCTGGTGGCGGCTGGTGCAGCGGATGTTTGAAGCCGCTGAAGAAGGCGGTGGTTCCTGTCGTGGCTTCCCTCGCGCCTCGTCTCGGCCGCCGCCTCTCGCGGGGTCCCTCGCGATCCTCCTCCCCGTCTCGGTCAGCGGAGGAGGCACACATTTCGGCGGATGTGATGTTTAGGACAAGAACCACCCCGCGACTGACAAAAAGCCTAGCACCGTATAAATAGGCGGTGGTTGTTGCCACCGCGGTCGGCGGTCGTAAACTGATATCTCGCGCTTTGACCCACATAACTCGGATTGATTGTTTGTGAAACGATGACGAGCGCTCGGTCTTTTTCCCCTTTGAAGAATGGCTCCCTCGACGGAAGTAAAGAGAATCGTGTCCCGGATTCGTTAAACTTCACTTGCAATTAGTCGAATCGACAGCGTGATCTCTCGTTAATACTTATGTATCCAGATAGCTGTTTGAATTCTTGAGTTATGAAATTATAATTCTTTCTCCATCCCATTTCTACGAGTTCAACAATTCGTTTTTATGTCACAAATTCTGAGATTCTGAGATATCCTTTGTATCCAGAACAATTTTATTTTACTGTCACGAGAAGTCGAAAGGTATTCTTTCATCCTCTTTGACCCACCGGAAGAGAATTCTTTTGAACAAATACGTTAATTCGTAAAGAATTTTAAGCAGTAAATTCATAACGAACACCTGTACCTTTTGGTTACATGTTACAATCGTTAAATTAAAAAACATTGAACCTAATTATGACACACACGCCCACGTCAAAAGCTTTCAAGATATTGAAAGGCACGTAAAATGCCAGAATTTTTTAATTCCTTTGAATGCGCAAGGAGAGAAATTAATTCATTGTTAAAAACATAGTCACGTGTTCGGATTTCGATATGCCCGACACGTGGCCCGCCCCGTCTCTTCTGGCTCCTGCTGAGATATCGAGAGACCTCCCGGTGTCGTCCGGCCCGCATGTGCACAAGCGAGGGTCCTCCCTGGTTTTCGAATTGTTTCATCCGTTCGTTGGTCTTATTATCCAAAGCTGAGAATGCGTAAAAGAAGGATCGGGCCCAGGGACCAACGCAGGGCTTGCACCACCTCGGTGTCCTCCGCGGGATTGTAGATTCTTTTTGTGGTCGCTTACGTGCATCAACTTCGTGGGAGAGGATAAGTCACATCAAATCACACTTATTGACACCTATCTTGATTCGATGCTGGCAGAGTGACGGTATTGTATCTAAAAATAAAAATATCAACTGTAAAAAAGAAGAGAATTTTTATATTTTTTTCAAGGAATTTTTTATATAAAATTTTCGAGTTTCTGTAATTATTCCGTAAGCTAAAAGCGACTAAATAGCATATTTAACAAAAAAAAAAGAAAGCTGTTTTAACGTATGTTAAAATTATTATTAAGAAATTATACCGCCACTAAATTGATTCGGTAAACTTTCTAATTTTACACTTGTTCTTTCGTTTCTGCAGCTGTAGACAAGGAAATGCTGTCGATGCTGTAACAATTGGCGTTAATGATTTAACGCAGAGGTCGTAAATGTGTGATTGGGAATGGCAGTGCGCGAGTGCTCTCTCTCTTACGGAGCCGGGGTATCACCTGCTCGTATTGTTTAACCGAGCGAAATGAAACGGCGTCCGGTGCTGGACCAGATTGCGGCCGGCGCGTGCCCGATTCGCGGAAATCCGACACTCTTACTTTTACGACATTCTGCACGGTGCGGGCGTTTAAAAATCTGCCCTGAAAAGCTGCAGCCGTTCCACGGTGCGATGTGAAGGAATCGTTGCTCAGTTTCGGTATACAGGATATGTTTAAGATGACATTTCCATTGCTACTTGCATGTATAAATTTCTGCTATTGATCACAAATGAAAATTGTCTTACGTTTTGAAGAGTAAAAGTACAGTTCTTTTTCGTAGAAGAATAGCGGGAGATATTTTAAAACGTGAAAGTTTTGAACAGCATAGTCTTCATGTCAAGAATGTCGTAAAGCCACTTCGGTTTGAAGACTACGTCCAACCGATGCACAAATTGATGTCCCTCGAATACATACATGATCTGTAAAAAAAAATGTTCGCATTTATACGGAATTAAAAAAATCATTAACACACGGGGCTATCGATATGTAAAATCTGGCTAGTATCTCAGACTTCAGACCCAAGTCCGTGTAAATGTAATGATATAGCCCAGTGTACTTCTATATTTTAAATATTTATATTGTGTCACATTCGAACTATGATAAAACATGCTAAAAGTGATTCCCGATATTACCCAGATCTGTTCTCGTCGAGCGATGTGTAGTCGACGTGGGCGCAAGAAAGAGAGGGAGAGGGAGGAGGGGGGGGGGAGAGAGAGAGAGAGAGAGAGAGAGAGAGAGAGAGAGAGAGAGAGAGAGAGAGAGAGCAAGGGGAAAGAGCTGAAAATATACATAACAAACTAACGTCGGCTGGAAAGTGCGGCGGCTGCACGCGACTCGCCGCGATGCAGAAGAACACACTGACAGTCACATATGGCTCCGGGTATGCCGGTGTCGGTATGCTCCACAGAACCTGATACATATAGAACTCGGTGGTCCCTTCTCTGTTAAGGCCGATAAACTTTACATGGAACATCCAGTCTCTCAGAGCCTGCAGCAGATCAATAAACCGCGTATTTCGTTTTCCCTCCCCCCGCCGATCGATCTCTTTTCTTTTTTAATTGTACCGATAATTGATTCCATCTGAGCATCTCCTGGTTCACACATCGCAGGCCGTTCCGCGCATTCATATTTCCGCACGTAGGCCATTCGGTGTGGCTGAGCGAGGACTGATGGTCCTAACAGTTAAGAGCAGTCGATTCACGTACGTAACAATTATTTACGAGCAGTACAGACAATTGTTTAAATATATATAACATAAAACTGTTCCAATAATATATACGAAAATATATATGAGAATTATTCAGATATATCGTGATCGACAGAGCTTAACGTACTATGACAGCGGCAATTTTTATCGCGGCGATAACTGCGGAATCGACGAATCTTCTTACGAAACGCGTTACATCTTGACAAGATTCAACTTGATGCTCTTCCGCGGGCCGCATATTATACACCGAGCGCCTGTTTCGTATAATCATATTGATTAAAATATTTCTACAAAGATTGCGTGCGAATATCAAAACGTCATCCTCGAGATTTCGATGCTTTATTTCGCCAAATTTACATTCGATAGTGATTTGTCACGTTTTTCGCACTAAAAAAAAAACAAAATCTAAGAACTTTTCTCGTGATATATGTATATATACATACTTTTACCTACCATCGTATACAAGACATCTACATACGTATGTACGACAATTAAATATATACGTTGACTTAAATCTATACGAGAACGATTGGTAAATACTATGTGATTAAAGCTTATATTAACAATCGCTTTTCGAGTGATTAGAGTCATGCTGATTGCGCGCGGCCTTCGTAGACGCTTCCAATCCCGTGACAGCCGCCAGTACCTCGAACAGACTTTCCATCAGTCTGCCAAATATTTCTGACATCTCCTCGTCCTTTCTTGTTACCACGAATATATCTAAAACATATTGATACGCATATAGGTCAATACATATATTGTTATGTGTAAATCACGCAAACATTTCAAGAATTAACGACAGTGGCATCATACAACCAAAAGAAGATTAAGATATCGAATGGTGTATGTGCTTAATTTATTAGAACTGCATACCCGCCACACTTTTCTCATTTCTATCCTCGTTCTCCGAGTCCAAAACATTTAATATTTTGTGTAACTGCATTTAAATAGTGTTGATTATCTATTAAACTCACCCGATCTCTCTTGACCTATGTATTTGCAGTACATATTAACGGCAGTCGTTACGTCGTCGTCATCATGAAAGGGGTCTCCGGGCCATTGTGCCCTGTGCAGTCTTACGGCTTCGAGCGCCGGACACCATCGTGCGTTTCTCAAAAGTTCGGCGACTCGGGCGACTTCTTCCACGGCTCCGGAACCCGGAAGAGGACTAGGACTGGGTGTCGGAGTGGGTGTCCCTCGTTCACTCTCAGTACTTTCTTCGAGCGCTCTACTCAATGCTATCTTCATATTGGCGATCTCGATAGATAGATCTTGCAAAGGAATCTGCACGTTTCTAGCGGCGTTCATCAGCGCCCCTAGCATCTTGTTCGACGCTTCGATCAACAGAAGTAGCTGGAAGTGCAGTTTGTAGAGCGCTCTGCCCAGGTCCAACAGCATCTCTTCGACGCCCGCTTCCGTGGTATGACTGCCGCCTAATGCCTGAAGCTTAGCGGTTGCTTTAGCTGCCTCCAAGCACTAGGAAGAAAAAGGAATATAATGGCTGCTCTTAAACAATCGTTGGCGAGTGTCACGACGAAACTTACTTCCGTAGCATGATCTTTCCTATCGAGAAATGTCTCCAGATGCTCCTGTATCTCCAGCATTCCAAAGCGCAACGTCTCGTTTAGCCGCTGATTCGCGAATATGGCCACCGAGAACCACACCAGAGGCGGCTCGGCTTTTGAACTGAGTAGCTCGGCATGGCCAGATAAATAGCAACCCAAGTGCGCTGAAGCCGAGCTGCTGTTACAAAGCAAAGCACTTGCCTCGCGCGTAAGACCAACGGATTTACTGCTCACATCCTGTGGAACACAACAATTTTCTAATTAACTATCCTTAGCAAAAATGACAATCCAGTGTCCCGTCTTGTGCAAAATTTCGCAGTATTTAATTTTTAACAAAATAAATTGTTTTCCTATAAAGCAACATTTACCCTTAAGATCTTGCTCAGCAATTGGAAGAAGCTCAAAGTGTTGTACGGAGCTTGAGTAATGAGACTTTGGATTTGCTGCCTCCAGACCTCTTCGGCATCGTCGCGTACAACCTGTCGGAAGGGCATCAACGCGGACAGATTGGGTGACGCGTTGCAGGGCGTAACGTCTCCGAGATCTCCCGCGCTCGAGCCGCTATAGGCGAAAGATCCAAAGTAAAACGATTAATATACACGTTTCCAAAGGTCTCTGTACAGAAACTTACGATGTGTCAGACCTTGTAGATGAGTCGTGACGCGTGCGACTAGGTATCAACGAGAGAGAAGACGGCGGGAACATTCCCGGGATGCTGTTTGCCTCCTGTCCCGTTCCGGATCCTCCTGGTACTTCGTCCAGCGGTGATTCCGATCCTGCCTCGTCGTCCGACGACTCTTCGGCGACGCCGCGCTACATTCAGAATTTTATTAATAACAAATAATTTAAAAAAAAAAGAGGCAAAAATGTATAAATTATGTATAGTAAAACTCATTTTTAATTTTTCACATATTTACCCGTGTTGTGTGTTTGCTGGATGACGGTGTTTTCTCACTTAAACTTTCCTCGAACTGTCGCAAACTGGGCTCTCGTTCCTCACCCTCGCTAAGAGGACGACGTCGAACTCCCCAGTTAAAGTTGTCCGTGCTTTCGCCCTGTAAAGTTTAACGGGGAAAAAATTGGAATTAGTATTCTCTATTTAGAAGGAAAAGCATCGTGGGCTCACCTCAACGCTTTCGCTTTCATATTCAAGGAAATCGAAGTCCTTAAATACGCCAAACTGCTCATCGTCTCGTCTGGATCCTCCGCTCAAATCGTTATTCGCCCCGGAAACCTCTTCCGTTGAAGAAGCCATGGATGATTGTCTTTCCATCAAGTCCGAACTTTGACTGAATATGACCTGAATTTTGAAAAAGTAATTAATAATGTAAAAAATATATATGTGTAAAACAATTGAAGGAATTAAAAGCAAATATACATAAGTGACAATTTCATGAATACAAAGTCAATACGTACTACGGCATCTCATATCTTTTCGATAGAGACACACACTATGACACTAAATATAAAATCCACTTATATTTCACTGCTTCTTACAATTAAATCCCTCGATTGATAATTGCCTTCAATATATCTCAATTCCGATTGACTACGTGAATTTGCTTAAAATGTTCAACAATTGTGCATATACATGTTATATAATTACTAGTTATATATACAGAGTGCTCTGGAGCTATCGCAATTTCCTTCAGATTTTGATAATTGATTAAAGAATAATAATTTTAATATTAAAAGTTAAAAAATAACATGTCACATTTGTATAATATACTGAGAGATAAATAACACCGTGATACTCTATTATCAAGTTTTCCAAAAAATTAACAATGGTGTAATGGAGTCGCCTGTATATAATTACGTACATGTTGATAAAGAACAATGATTGTTTTATATTAAATCTGATATGTTTTCAGATTATAAAATCTATGTATCCTGCGATTGTCAAGAGTATATAAAGATATTTATACACATAATCTCATACCCATATAATCGTACAAGAGACGACAAAGCGTGGAAAGGTAATAGATTTCAGATGGTTGTGCTGCAAAATTATACTACTACCGCTTTATAAAATCTTTCACAAATGTCTTACTAGTCCTGCAACAGTGTGCGAGTGAAAACATCTTTATGAAGCTGACTGAAGCGTGAAATACGACTCATAGAACATTGCAATTAATTACGAGTACAAGTACTTGCACTATTGCGAATTACAGCGGGTGTGCAGATTGCATTTATAAGTAACCCTTTACCTTGCTATACAATGTCATTGAACTAATGTGCTCATCCTAAAAAGGGGTACATAATGAATCAGTTGTTTTTTTTTTGTAAGATGTACAGAATGATTCTTAATTATATGTCAACACTTCAGGCGGTGACTCCAGAGCCCCAAAAATGTCAGATGAACATTAGTCGTTTAGACTTTATTTTCTGAAGTTGCAATAAATTAAGAATGCTCGAAAAACGTGCCCGCCTTCCGCTGTGAAGCATGCTGCAGCATGTTCCGATGTGACTAGATGTTTACTAATTATATGTATATATGTACATACATACATATATATGTATAATATACACATTATTTTGTTTTAAACAACGCTTTAAAATATCTATATGTAAATTTATCCCTTAAGAAAGGACTTTACAAAATATAAATATTTTAATACGTATGTAATTCGAAATAAAATAACATATAATTGCATATAAATGTACGTAATTGTATTGTTTGCCTAGGATAGACCATAGGATAAGGACATGTTTACGCTGCTCGAATTAATAATTGAAAAACGTATCGTAAGTAAAAACGTACCGATGGGCTCTTCGGTAAACCGACTCTTTGTCCACATGTCGTCAACAGATTTACCAAGCACTCCCTGACACGGCCCTATTGAAAAGAGACTCGATTATACATTAATCTTAAATGCATAATATGGACATAATTATATCATATTAAACTTATCACACATAAGTCTTGTCAAGGTCGAATCAGATCTCTATTTTAATTACAGGCGTAATAAATTCTTGCTTGAATTTTTTAGTAACTATACCTGCGACATCCACGGTCTCTTCCATCCGGCAATTGCGCTATTATCAGCCGGCGATAGAGACAACGAGCAACGTGGAGAACTGATTGACTTTTCTTCAGTGCCTTGACGTATAAGCCAACGCCGACCGATAACTGGCGTTTGAGACAGATCAAACGTGAAGTCCATCGTTCTTCCTATTCATAAAAATAAAACGGTCAAAAATATTACAGATATTAAAAGACAAAATTAATGAAAATTTTGTATCTACATTTCTACACGATAATAATAAAACGCGTTTACTGCATTTTGAAAAATATTTTAGTTAAAAAAGGTTCCAGGTACATATCTTAAAATCCAAATAATCGTGTGGGAGCATAAGTAATACATATTTAAGAAAATATAATATAATTTGAAGTGTGTTAAGCTTAGAAAAATAGCAATGTTATTCTAGGAAAAGATTATCTATCGCTATTGTTATTCCTATCGCAACCTGTTGTGCGATAAATCATCCGTGTACCAAGCATGCATGCCGCGTTGCAAAGAAAGAAGAAATAAAATCGATAATATACATCCAAAGGAAATAAATAGACATTAATTAATTTAAACGGAGATGTCCATTTACCCGGCAACTCTTTCTTAGTAAATATCTCCGTGTCGGTGAAGCTAGGATGCGGCGATGCTAGCGAAGAATCCCAGGATGAACCGTGCATCGAGGTCGGCGGCGCTACGAGTGTCGACGATCTTGTCACCACAAGCTTCAAGATTTTCAACGCTTCTTTCCACTGAGTGCCCTGAAACGTCAGCTTGTTTATTGGATAAACAAAATTACAGTCAATTGTCGAATTGATGTTCGAATATCAGGTTAATTAAATACTTGAATACTTTACCTCGACGTATTTAGAGATCACTCTCAACAGTTCGGTATTGATCGGTTGCGCGGCTGGAGACGCCAGATCCACGTAATGCAACATGCAATGTATAATACTGAGTACCGGCAATGCCACACTGCTCGGACCTTTCTCCAGTACTTCCACAAGGAAAGCTAGCATGTTGAAACTAAGATGAGCATAGGAGTCGTAAAGATACTTCACTACGCATTTAGTCCACTGGAAGCTTTCCTTGCTGAAAGTACGCCGGCTATACAACGTCATGACTGTACCGAGGTTCTCCAATTTTTTCCCCTTTTCTGCGCTTACCTATAAGAGAAATTGGAAAAAAAAGAAGCTAATAAATAAGCGCGTTGCGACAAATAAGTTGGCAATAGTAAATGGAAAGCGATTTACTTGTGCAATGTTTTCGGCGCTTCTGATGCAAAGTTCGTTGGCGTCTTCGTAGTTCAGCAACATGTAAGGCAGCAACGAGACAACATTCATCGGGAACGCGAGGCTTTGCGTGGGGTCGACCACTGGCAGATCTAGCAGAGGTGTAAATTGGGACAGCAGCGTAACAACTGGTTCGTACGTATTCGGACTGGTGCATCCTTTCAGTAGCAGCGCGTGTACACCGGGAAACGAGCTCCACCGCAGCTGCTGTTGCAGTTTCTCAACTTTGTCTCGGGCGTCTGGTCGATCGAGCGGTAGCCTGTGCAGCACGCGACTGAGTAACCGCAACGCCAGGAGGAATTCGTGCTCGTAATCCGATTCCAGCAGGGATACCGACAGCCAGAACAGTTGCGCTAGTATCGTCATCTTGTCGTCCTGCGTGGCGGAGTCACCCAGTAACTTCAAGGACTGTGCCGACCTTGATCTAGACAGATTCGAGTTAGGATACTTGTTGCCCCCAGTTCTGTTCTCCAATTCTGCGGACACAAAGTTTCATTGAAAAATCGATGAATTGGAATTAAAAAGTTTACGCATGGAGAGAAAACTTGTGTCGAGTATTATAAAACACGTGAAACGTAATAGTGACCTTTCATATCGCTAGTCGCAGAATTTCCACCACTGGATCTCTTCATGCAGTAACTAACTGAGTAGCTGGTGCTCCTCGTGTGCCCGCCTTGATTCAAGTGAGAGAACATGTGTGGCCCAGCTGGATAACCATTTCCACCTCCTGGACTACGCTTCCCCCCGATTACATTTCCTGATACCGGATCCTTGTTGTTCAAATTAGGTGTCGACTTGAATATTTCTTTCATGAAATCGAGCGGTCTAAAGTCTGACTCGAGCGAATCGACAGCCGCTTCCAACGTTAGCAACAACTCTGTTACATATCCCTGATGAAATTATAATATAATTATACAAAATATTCGGAATGCCAGTCATTTAAAAGTTTTTTTTAACTATTATCGACTGTATTCTTTTAAACAAAAGCAATTATACCAATAAGAAAACTGTCGATACCTGCATGTCTTCGCCTTGCTCGGCAACTGTCTCCACCAGCCTAGATAAAATGTCAGACAGCATTCTGGACGTTATGGGGACGCGCAACGCTCGGAAAACTTGTAACGATCTCCCGGCGTAGTGTCTGGACGAGCAGGAGAGGCCTAATTGCAGCGCCGTTTGCGCCCATCTCTGGCTGACTAAAGCGTGGGGCAAGGAGTCTCTAAAGACGCGTAATACGTGCCGCAATAATATCGTGAGTTGTTCGGCGCTACGCACCCACCACACTTTGGCAGTCATATCCTCGTAATTCCATAGCGGTTGATTTGTCCTATCACGAAAGACAATGTTAAATTAGGGATCTCATTCCCCCAAATATGTAATTAACGTGCATACCTGGAGGCTAAGAAATTGATCAGGGACTTGATGACGTCTTGTATCGGCATATTAGGACCCGGCTGAGGACCGGTCCAATTATGCGTGTCCTCCGGCGTCACGATAACAGGCGGCACCGCGTTCGTCGTCGTTCCGCTCGAGGTCGGCCAACTGTTGCACACCGCTGGTTCTGCAAAAAATCGTTTCCTTTGTAAAATGTTTCATAAACGCGATACTAAATTTATATAGTACATCCAGGTATCTTACCGTAGTGAGAATTCCCGAAGTCCTTACTATCATCCGTCGCCGACTGATTCGAGTGATTCATCGACATCGGCGGGGTTGATGTTGAATTCGACAAAGACGAGTGAGTAGGCGTTCCGTCCGCAACCGAGGAAGATGGTAACGGCGGAGGAGGAGGAGGCGGCGGGGGTGGCGGGGGTACCGGCGGAGATGCTGAAGAATCGGGAGGCATAGGTGGTGGCGGCGGCGGCGGTGGAGGAGGCGGCGGAGGCGGCGGCGAGGATGGTGGAGGCGGCGAGGACGACGGTGGCGGTGTCGTCGGCGGCGGGACAGCGGGTGGGCCGTACAGATAGCTGTCGAACTCCGGGTCCATCTCCGTGAAATTGTGTTCCAGCACCGGTAGAGTCGGGGTGGACAGGCCTAATCCCAGTTGCTCCGTCTTCGAGGCGAGCAGGACGCGCGCCACGCCGAGGTGATCGCGATGATCGCCGAGCACGACCAGCAGGTTTAACAACAAGCAACGACAGTGGTCTCGCACCAACGGCCTCGAGTGATCCAGTCCGAGAAAGACTATGTGCAGCATCAAGGGAACGTGTATGGCCCAATCGAGCTGGATCCCATCGATGACGACGTCGGTGAGCAACATCACAGCGATGTTGCATCTGAAGGGTTACAGCGACATCGGATTATTAATGCGCATTGTTTGACGGAGTAGCGAAATGAAATACCGTAGCTTGCAGTCACCTGTGAAATCCGCTTATCGGCTGAGAGCTATCGGGCAGGTATTCAGTCAGGGGAGCGAAGTACCCGCCGTATTCCGGCATCGGCAGGGGATGCGGTTGAGGAATATCGAACTTCTCGTCGACGCACGGCATCTTTCCGTTCACCCCGGCGGGCCCGTTACGTGCGGCGTAACACGACTCGTCGGTAGTTAACTAAAAAAGATAATTACTTTCAAATTGGACTATCCTGTTAAGATGCATTACGTGCTTTCTTGAGCTTTCATATATCATTTACTCGTCGTTTTGTCAACGGAAGCAGCAAAACCTTTCAATCATATAAACCCACGAACTTTTTTATGACGATAAATCAAATTTCAATAGAGTAACGTACCTCGGCTTCCGTCGTCGGAGTTGATAGATCGTCTGGAAGAACTGGCGGACCGCTCGCAGTCCTCGTCTTTTCTGCCCTTGGAGTTTGAAACCCCGCGAGCGCTCGGAGTGCGGTATCGGATTTCGAGCTGCGGAAGAATTCAAGTGTCTTGAAATAAATTTTACCGCGATACCATAAATCACATTCATAAAATTACGACATCCTCAGACGTTTCTTTCGTAAACAAAAAAAAATGAAGGGGTTCGATTATGAAACCTTGGGATTTCAGCTAAACGTATTTCAATAAGCATCTCTCACCCGGTCTTGACGGGATCCTCGCCAGAGTGTCTTTTCGTATGAATGGTGCCCTTTTCAACGCCGAGATCGCGGGGAGGATTGGCAGGATCGGCGGCCGGCGCGTCGCTGTGCGACGAGGCTTTTCTCATGCTTGTGAGCCGGTAGAAGGGCGGCGTTTCTGTCCGCTCGATCAAGCAATTCAGGGTCTCGACCGTCTCCAATTCTGTCATCATTTCGTCGACAAGACGATCCGGACGCGCCCGGGCCAGATACAATACCACACGTTTTGCCTAATAAGCGATATATTTTCTGTCACCTTGTTGTCCGCACATATAAAGCTATCCCAAAAGTTCCACTCACGTATGGTAGTAGCTCCTGAGGGGCCATTCCCGAGACGATAATCAAATAGCGGATTATAACTTTGAGATTGTTTGGCCAACAACCACACAGAGTTGCCCAAAGCTCTTCCGTTTCTTTAGGATGTTCGTCCGAGAACTTTGCGGTGATGTAGAAGAGATTGTTGAGCACCATCTCCGTCGCCTCCGCGCTGCCCCAGCCTTCTCTGCGCGTTCCTCCACGTGTCACATCGCTCGTGTAATACTGTAAAAAAAATTAATTAATTGAGAAATACTGCGGAAATGCGAGAGAGTATTTTTTACAAATGGCCAGGCAAATCCAATCTTTTCGCGAGAATACTGCAGAAATGGGCACAGCATAAAATGATTATCCTAGAGTGCATTCATTTTTTAGAATATAGAAAACATACCTATTAAAATAGTTACCTAATTTGTGAAAAAAAAAGAGAGAACTTGGATCTAAGGATTCAATTGGCAAATATTAAAAGCGGATCCTGCCAATCGACTTTGCTGAGAGATTGAAAGCCTCCCCTACGTTTGCAAAACAGGAGAAAATAACAAGATAACGATCATTCACCACATCACGATATCGTTATTACTGCTGACAGTTGTAAAGGTATCGAAAGAAAGGGCGTGGGTATCGGAAATCGATTACAGGACTGTTTGCATGCCGAGCACAAAAGCTCTCGATAACTACTTGAATTACAATTCTCTCGTTTCGTCCATCCATCCACCGAGGTGATCAAGATTATTACCATCATCGATAATTGAGCGGCGTGGTTCGACGGAAGTAAACGCACTGGGCGTTACGCCCTTTCTCCAGTAAATGGATTTCCTTCTCGACGGTCTAACGTACCACTCGAACCGATTATTTCAATTACGGCGCTCGCAATCGAACTGATCAAGATAACCCTTGCCATCACTAACGATAAGTAAAATTATAAAAAAAAAAAGAAGATATCTCAAATACCAGGTATTGATCCCGGCGTTTCTCGCACGTGAAGCGGCGGCTCTATATATCGTCCAATTTGCGATAAGAGGATCACGATCTTTGATAATCGTTGGATAATTACGCGATACGGGGAAAGAGGTTTTAGATCGACTTATCATTTCTACAGTTTCCGCGTACCGAATTCTAATCGGATGGTCTAATATTAGAACTGTGTCCTTCGTTATTAATCGGATTAAGAAGATCATTATCTTCGACGGTCGCGCGATATGCCAAGTAGTCGCGACCAACCTTGGACATTGGCATTGAACTTGTGCCAATGTTTCACCGTGTCCTTCTTTTTGCGGAGGTTCGTGGTGTAATCTCGTACCGCGTCTTTTCCTGCGACTTTCTACGACAACTTTACTAGATATTGCACCGCATATCGATATTCATATTTGAACGTAATGCTATTGTATATTTTACAATGTATTATAATATTTGCATATTCATCGAAGCCACATTGTACATTCTATTGCATATTAATATTCTTATCAAAATTCTGCGGCATCTATTTCATCAATAAATACTTCTCGTAAAAGAATCAACTACGCGTGCTATGTCATTCAGTTTTCACGCTGCACGTGCATCGCTACGTCGCGACTGCTATATGGCGCATTTGCAAGTCCATTGAAATCGGTACACAGTACAGTATTACATTCTCTGTGAGCTCTATTTAATATTTGTTTCAATAAACGTTTAGGATCCATTCACGAAGTCCAATTTTCCCGAATCACACAGGAATACCAGCGCGATCCCAAACATGTATTATAGAATTATTCATCTTGAAAAGCAGCCACGATTGTTGGATATAAATCGCCGACTGTGTCTAAGATGATGGATCATTATTTTTGTATGTAAAATCGAGAGTGTCTCTGAGAGTGAGACAACGTGTTTATCTTGCGCGTGCAAAGAATAACTGGAATTTTGTCAATGACGAAATTTAAAAACTTCTACTCAAAGGTAGACTATTCACAATTCTCTTCTTTGAGGTTTTTAACTCAACAAACGAGATTTAAATTTGCGATAAATCCTGCATTGAAGTAAATGATTTCCCTAGCAATTGACAAAAAAGTATTTTTAAACTTTAGAAAAATATAAAAAGAAACTTTTCCTGTATAGATTTGCTAGATATCAGTTATAATAATTAACTTCTCAGGTACAGAAACATATTTATTTTACAGAGAAATGCAGCTCGTTTGTTTCGCACAAACGAGATAAGTGCTAGGATTTTGGAAAAATTCCCATGCAAAACTCTTTCGTAAAAGTAGATCATGATCGCGATCCAGAGTGATCCCGCCAGCGATCCAGATCACTCAGGGGGCGTAGCTCAGATGGTAGAGCGCTCGCTTAGCATGCGAGAGGTACCGGGATCGATACCCGGCGCCTCCAGGATCAATTTTTGCCTCCTTTTACTGAAAGTGGTTCGCAATCGCGATGTAAAACGATCCCGTCAGCGATCCAGATCACACGGGGGCGTAGCTCAGATGGTAGAGCGCTCGCTTAGCATGCGAGAGGTACCGGGATCGATACCCGGCGCCTCCAACATCTTTTTTTTGGCTCCTTTCGCCGAAAGTAGATCACTTTTCTCAACACGACTGGTCTTGCTGCACCACTGCATTACACGGGGGGCGTAGCTCAGATGGTAGAGCGCTCGCTTAGCATGCGAGAGGTACCGGGATCGATACCCGGCGCCTCCAACAATATTTTTTTTTATCCTTTCGCCAAAAGTAGATCACTTTTCTGAGCTTGCGGCAAAACTGTTTTGTACGGAGGCGTGACTCAGATGGTAGAGCGCTCGCTTAGCATGCCAGAAGTACTGGAATCGATACCCGGCGTCTACAAGTTCTCTTTTTATTCTTTTGGCGACAATAAATCATTTGCGATGTCCAGCAACGTATTGAAAATGTATCGTAAGATTATGAATCGGGCGAAGACAATTTGTGCGGCAGGCGAGGATATCAAAAGTAATTTACGACATCCTTTTACTATACACAATATTTTGTTAAGCGATTTTTGTTTATGTCTGATTAAAAAAACTTTGTTCGGTATGCAACAAAGATACGTTAAAAAATTATAAAGTTCCATTATCTTATTAAATTTCTGACAAACCGAAATGGACAGACGTAATTAATAAATAAATATATTTACATATGTATATACGTATGAGAGCTTGATACTTGCTAAAAATTGTTAACTCTTAAATAACAATATTCTGTAGCATAAAAATATCACTTTTGATATTCTTGCCCTTTCGCACTCTTGCCTATTCTTATATTTATATTTCCATTATTTCACTTGTTTAAATATTAACTGTATCCAAAAAGCAAAAGCGCGTGCAGTACAGAATTTCCGGAATTTCAAAGTGAGACGCAATTTTCTGCAGCGCTGCTATTCCAAAGCTGATCACCTAATGAGCTTCATTTACCTGGTAATAACTCAGCGGATTAGACGGTGGCGGTACGTTTGGGTCGACCAATTCCATGTTGTGCAACCAGGGTAACAAATATTGCAGTAGCAATTGCCGAACTTCTCGACGGGCTGTTTGAAACCGATGCGTAATTTCTAAAACATATAAATTAAATACAAATTTCTGAAAATTACTACGTCAAATTATATTAATAACATGCAGTATTATCGATATGCATTTCCTTCAATTAATTAGAGAAGACGTGCCGCTTTCGATCGGGCTGGATCCAGCTTGATAATATTTCTGAGTGAACTTTTGTATACTTTTTCCGACTCGCAATGAGTAACTACGCATCGATTACTTACAAATCTTTTAAAATTAAAGCTATTTGTCGCAACAGTAAATCCACATGTTTAAATCAATAATCGATGTTGAACTTTCGATACCAAGCATCCCATTTAAATCACTCTCAAAAATTTATTACGAAAAACATTACCCCGGCCAGGATTCGAACCTGGATATCCTTACAGTTCATGTAATGGACGTCTTTACCAATTACATACATTTCTTTGTGTCAGATACTAATTCATAAAGAAGTGTTCATTTTATCAAAATTTGTTTATTATCTACCACATGTTTTACGTTGTAAAAATTATATCGAAGGAAATGTGCTATAACAAATATTATCGCTTTCTTTATTACTGGTATGGAAGCGTGTAATCCATACGAATAATAAAAAGCAAACCACTGTTAAACCATTATATTGGTGCTACAAATTTTACAAATCCACGATTTGGTGGATTACAAATATCGTCAAATTATTCATCTTATCTCTCTCTCGTTTCCTTTATTAATATAATTTTTCGACAACATGTAGGAGCATGTATCTTTCCTAGCCAAGCTCTTCTAGCTGCTCTCAAACGTACAGTGTATTAAATTTCATCCGTAATGCGTTTCATATGCGCGTAATGCATGTATACATGGAGTATCTCATCGTTAGTCTCGTCTCTCAGTCTGGAAATATTTAAACATCGGCCGTTTTGCAGCATGAATGAATTTTTGAACGGATTCAATGCGGACTGCATTACGATTTCCCTCTCCATTCTTTCACCTACTGCATTCCCATTTCGCATTTAATTACTTCATACATGGTCGAACGAATCCTCAATATTGCTTTATGCGTAACAGTAATTTAACGTGCCGGTTTAAAGCAGCAAGATATGGAAGGGCATTCGCAAATAGTCCCGAATGATTTGCTGAATGTGTGTGCACATGCGAAATTACATGGCGAAATTAGTATTTTCACCTACAATTATCTGCATTTGTTTCGGCTGCGCGTCGCATTTCAATCTGAATTTCAAAGATATTAACGTATCAAACAATTGTCACGTAACGCTTTGTCCTTTGTGATTCCTTTGCGTGATATAATAATCGGTATACAAAATACAAGATTGTACGTTCAGTTAATGCCGCCTAAAACCTTTCTTGTAAGGTATTATATTAAACTAAATCACGAGACTCGCCGCGCAATCTGATGAGTCCATCCATTGAGCATCTCTAAAATTTTCAATCTGCTGTAAGCGGATGAGCTTATGAATAATATAGATTTCCATCCGCATTTTAAACAAGTTTAATACCTACATATTGCGTGCCTATTGTTAGTATTACGTTTGAGCTTAATCAATTTAAAATATTTCATCCTATAGGTATATATAAGTTAACTTAAAATCATTATGTACAATCCTTATATAGATAAAATTATTTATTTTCTTGACGCGAAATATTCCCTTTAAAATTGATCTTTAACACTGACTTTCAATATTTCTGGAAAACAAATTCGTAAATTTAAAAGGACCTCAGTTTACAAAAATTACGTGCATTGTTACATGAAGAGAAACATTCGAATCAAACTCTCCCTTTCTCCCTGCTTATTAAATTTTTTTCTAATTATAGCTAGAGTATAACTATCCGATTCGACTTGCCCTTTGTGTTAAATGGATTTTTTTATCTCTTCTTCTTCATGCTGCTATCGAGTGCAATATCGCGCACAGGGGAATTTCATGAGATAAAACTGCAGTTTTACGTTACACCGTTCCTGGAAACCAAATGCTCGTCGATTCGTGAGCGTGTCAAAGCGAACAGATGTAAGCCGGTTAGCCGGAAACGTGCGAGATAATAATTCGCGCGATGGAATTATTTCCCATCGTTAAATTTTCCTCTGGTCGCGCGTCGGTCCACCGCGCTTTTTTTAAACCGTTGCCACTTTAACGTAGCTCATGACACTTGGGGAATGTCAGGCATGCGTCATAAAATTAAAGCGAAAAGCAACGATCCATTATGTAAACGAAACAAGGCTGCAACCTTATGCGTCTTGCGGCTCATTAACAATAGCGAGTTGTAGTTAAAAGGTTAAATTCTTAAACAGACAGGCCACGGTCGACCTTCTATCCTACATTATTCCTGGGTTTAATTAAGAAGTCAAATTCCGCGAACGACGCGTCTATCGCTTAAGACCTTTCCGAGTTTTCAATTTTTAATACCAATTTTTTCCATAACTAGAGCTCTGTGAGGATTAACTTCAATTTCAGTTTTTAATCCAACTTTATTTTCCCTTAAGAAAAGTAATTAAATCACTCTGCTTCACTCGACTCTTCAATCGCACCACCAAAGTTTAACTGAATAAAGCAAGAAGAATACCCGCAAGAATAATTCTCTAATGAAATTTAGCGCGATAAATCATTATTTTTCCATGCGAATCTCCACGTTTGAATCACCGGCTGATAATTAATATTCCTACACTCGAAATATGATACCACGTATTCAAGTATGCACGATGTGTACGTACACATAAATACATGTGTAACCAAGCTTACAAGTAGAAAAGCTTTATTTATTTCATATTTATCATTCAACTCTTTTGCTGACGTTTCTGTCGATATTATATTGTAGGCGCATAATGAGAGCCCGTTCGATTAGTTAAAACAGATGCGGCGGTAATATTTACGCGATAACGACACGCCTAGAGGCGTCTAGAATAATAATCAATGAGACAACAAACCCGTGAGGATTATTGTTGACAGCATCCCTCTTGAGTAATGAATTATTAATACTTGCGATAATTCTATTAAATCCCATGAACATTCTATGACCTCCCTCGTTGCACGCCGATTACACGCTTCCGTGTCAATAATAAAAAGAAAGCAATGCCACATTGCAATGTATATTCCTTTTCCCTTATACCATAACTCCACCGCATTATTTACAACGTAAAACTAATATAGAAGTTTAATAAAGCGCGCGTCCTCTTCCATGTCCAAGCTTGTAAAAACTATAAAACAATTTTTTTCACCGGCAAGCATTCTATATGTAAATTTACAAGTTAAGACGAAAAGCCGACTTTCAGTTTAGTTTACATAATTATTATTCTTATAAATGCAAAAGCAACTTTTACATGTTTATTAACTGTTGTTGGACAAGAAATTCTATATATTAAGGATTAAGGCATCAATATTAGTATTTAAAAGAGGCGTTTTTCTTGGATATCTTTTTCTTAATTCTTATCATTTAAATAAAATATGGCCGCCAGTTTTCATAGAAACAGCATGAGCTTTGAGAGGAACTGCAATTTTCACTCGTGGGTCGTTTTTAATAACTTACGATTAATGTGTTCTACATTGTACTTTTTGCGTACATTTTTAAATACGTCTCCACGTTAAACTGCAGTGCGGAAATATACACCGTCATATGTATTAAATAAAGGTAATTAGATCATATTTCCATAATATTTCATTTTAATTGCAAGGAAAAGAACAAAGTTACAAGGAACAAAAATGGTTCTAAACCATGTTCTCTCTAACTAAAGCATCCAATAGACTACAAAAGTTATTAATTGTGTTTTATCATACACCGTTTTCCTCGTTTCCGCGAATCAATTTACAATTACAGTCAATAACATAATTAGATATATTGGATGATATTAAAATTATAGAATAATTACGAAATACGCAGTGTTCCTAACTACATGTACTCTCAACTACATGTTGCGTTAAAACAATTGCTTGAAAAATATCCAAGTCGAACTTTATTTTGATGTTTAAAATTGCGAGTAATAATTTTCTGAAAAATGTAGCATATCTTGTTGGCATATCTTGTTCGAGTTTCCGAGGCCTAAGAGGGTTAATAAAAATACAAGAAAGTCTATTTACCGCTGAACATCGGCATCGTGAGTTCCGGATGCAATTGAGCCAGTTGACGCGAAAGATACATTTGGCTGCGGCAATAAGTGGTCGACAGGAGGACATCCAGTGTGCCACCTCTGATCGTCCCGCCGGATGAAATCTCACCTGCAGGATTGCTTTGTTGACCCGGCCCGGAAGTTACGGTGGCGGCACAGCTTGCGAGAGGATCGTTGTGCCCTGCAATGGGAAATCCAGATAGAATACCAAATTACATTACTGGATTAAGGAAAAGAGAAACTGTAGCAATACTTTTGTCTTCGCCAGTAAATAAATGACGGAAATATAAATGTTTTAACACTGGCTAAAAATTCTTCTCTATTTCTCAATTATTCGACCGTGGGTTTTGGTCCCTTGTCGCGCGCCATACAATAAAAATGTAATTGAATTTCGCATTTAGACGCACGTCAGGAACCTAGAGCAGTAAATATTAATTGTTTATGGCTCTATGTTCCTGACGTGCTTCTAAATGCGAAGTGCAATTGCAATTGCATTTTTATTATATCACGCATAACATATACGGATAGTAGTTACGTTACTGTTGTAAAAATTCGAGTCTTACATTTGAAAAGGACCAAAAGCCAGTTGTATCGAAAAAATTTTTATTTCATCAATAAGCAAGTGAAGAGGATGCTGGAGTAATTCTGCACCTTTTGCTCCTAGAACTGTCAATTCGTGAAGACATTTGTGTAATGTAAAAATTATGTGGCTTTTGCGAACAGACAGCGTTCCACTATTCGGACTAAATCTGAGAACAGCGTGGTATCATTGAAATTAAGTTTAGAAGCCTAAAAAAATCTATTCACTCGAATAAACCTATAACTTATTCGAGTGAATAGATTTTTGTTAGGCTTCTAAACTTAATTTCAATGATACCGCGTTGTTCTCTGATTAAGTCCGATTAGTGGAACACTAGCTGTCTGTACAAAAGCTACATAATTTGTACATTACAAATGTTTTCACGAATTGACAATTCTAGATGCAAAAAGTGCAAAAGATGCAGAATCACTCCAGCATCTCATTAAACACCTCACTAATTGCCGAAGATTGCTTCAAAATTTTATTTGGAATGAAGACTTGGCGTTTAAAAACGATTTCAAAATAATCCATGAGCATTTGAATAAACAAAAGCATACAAAGTTACACAAAAATAACATTAAGCTACAAAGACCCAGCTTGATCAACGATAGCATATTCCTATTTATTTGAGAATGTTTTAATTAATATATTTCTAATTAATTTCCGTTAAAGAAGAAGGAATTTACTTGAAAATCTACAGCTGATAAAAGATTTATAAAATATTTTATAAATGAGAGTCAATTTAATTAACGAACTGCAAAGGAAACACGGTAGTGCAAAATAGCATAATACCTCTGAACTTTTCGTTCAATTATTATTATAGTTATCGACACCGACAATATTTATCAGTAAACCGTGTTAAACACTCAATAATTATTTTCAGTAATAATTAATCTCAAACCAATATGATTTGACATTTATCATGAATTTACACCACATAAATCCTTAATCCCATAAGGGAGTTTTTTAAAATTGTTTTACCTATATGAAATACGTATATAGAGATCTCTTTCAGTTGCCAGTAATAAATAATAATAATCAAGCTTTTTAGTCGACATTAACCGGCTAATGTTTTAATACAGAAAATTTATTGCGAAAAATATTACCTCAGCCTGGCTCATTCTGTATTAAAACATTGGAAGGTTAATGTCGACTAAAACGCTTGATTATTGTAAAATACGTAGGTCACAGTTTCTCCTAAAGATTTTTCATTATTTGTCATATTTATTTGAGATTAATTATTACTGAAAATAATGAAAATATGATCATCTTGATCATATGGAAAGTACATTTTACCGAAAAAGATATTTTATATTTGTAAACATACATATTTATTACTTCTCGGCAAATTAAATATATTCTCTTTACAGAAGAGAATGAATCTCATCGTGCGCTACATGTTTCTTTGCATTCACGAAAATGTATTTCTACATTGCACGGATGCTCAAACGGAGTTTGATACACGACATGTCAAAGGATATCACGCACAACGTGCACTTAATCTTACTTTCTTTCACAAGAAAGGTACAACTCATTTCTTTGAACGTTGCGTTTCAATTCAAGCGACATGTCAATAGTACTGTAATTCAATCTTTCCAACTTCATTGAAATTTAAAAGCTGCAAACCTACGACTCTGTCTATCATATATTATTATATAACAATTACGATCGCTTTACAATTATTACTTATAGGTTGCATTAATATGCGATGCAGCGTGATAAAAATTAATGTTTATTGTTATTTTTATATTTTCATAACAAAAAATTCTCGCGAGTGAAAAATCTTTAGGAGAATATTTTATGTATAACATATTTTACGTATAACAAGTTTAAAAAATTCTTTTTTTTTAAATATAAACTTTAATATTCTCGCAACATAGTTTGCAGAAATGCCAAAAATTAATGGAAAAATACTAATGGATAAATCGCGAAAATATGTATCTCTCCGTCGCGACACGGCAAATTGACGTGCGTCGCGAAGAGGCGGGAATTTGTACATTACTTTGATGCGCAGAAGCCAGAATACTGGATGCACCGAGCTTTATCAGGAATGGATGCGTCGGGGCATCCAGCAGAAATAGCTGAGACCTCAGTCGAATATATTCCCCGAAAGTGTTACGTTAGTAAACTAAAAAACCGAGTGTACCAAGTACCAAATCCACATTACTCTCATTAAGTGCGCTCGTGGCTTCCCCTCTGAAAATAAAATAAAATTTAAAAAAAGCAAAACGTGTCGCTGCTGCTAATGTGATTGATACTGATGTGCCGGATCTACCGAGACTTAATCAATCTGTTTGTAACATTTGTTGATAAGTCGCGCTATTAAAATCAAGTGTTGCGCGATTGTCTTATATGAGAAACTCGTTAAATAATATTAACGAGCCGTTGACGAAAAGATCGTGTCTCGCACCGGCACTGCACATCCGCCGTGCAAACTAAAAGTGTTAAGAGGGCTCGTCATGTATCTACAAAACGTTAAGATCGTTGATGTGTGAGATGTATGTGAATTTGGAACACTCGAGTGTCGGAAGATCGCGGTTAAAAGGAGCTCTCGGCACCGTGTCACAAAATCGTCTATGCAATCTGGATGTCAGTCCAATAAATGGCTTGCGTCTGCATAAGTAAAACCTAACATGTTGCTCCGTTTGAAACTCAATAAACAGGTACGCATTAGTTAATATTTAAAAAATTCTTGCTTGACGAGTTTTTCTACAGTTCTAGTTCAAATAAGAAAAAACTAACGCTTACGTCACACTTATAAAAAAAAGTATAAGAAAAGAAAGAGATATATTTCCATTACCCTCTCTTAAAGATGTTTAATGTAAATCAAAGTCTATTCTGTTGTAGTATCTTTTTATACTTATTTATACGTACACGGGAAAAAATGCTGTTGAATTAAGCGAAATATAGTTGCTTGAATTTAAACATTAACGTCACGGGCTGCTACAAACATAAATAATTCACTCAATTGTATTTGCTATGGATTTTAATTTTAAGCATTTAACTAAATATTCAGATTATTAAAGCAACAATCTGATGTTTTTCATTTATTAATACTGATGTTGTTTCAACGATTTTTTTTTCAATTACACTGATCTTGTCGATACAACAAGTTCCGTGTATTAATTTTTTCAATATTTATTAATTTTTATATGAAAAATTGTATAAAGACTTTTATTCTTTATTATAGAAAAAATGTTATATCATACCAAAGCGATATATGATTTGCTTTTATCAATTTACATTACTTTTGATCACAGATTCAGTTATGAGTTATTAAATTATTATAAAAGTACCGTAGAATTTATCCGAAAGATATATGTGAAACGAGAGACACGTAAAGCTTTCCGATTGTCGAGTTTCTAACATGTACCGTTCAAGATTATAAATATGAAATTTCGTCATTACCAAAGATACGAAACCGTATCAACACAATTCTCTTGCGATCGTATCTGCGATAATTATTTACACTTAGAATACGGCTGTTAGTGTTACAGTTATTTTATGAAAAAAAAAATGCATTCGCTGAGATTGCAAACTGTACCGGATTTTTCGCGATAACACGGAAAAGATAAGAATTTTTCCTATGTTATCATCACATTGTGTAAGATGGTTCTCAATTTTATTAAAAAGTAAATATTGGTGTTAAACGCGTGTCGAAGAAACATTTATCGAATTTGTATTTTATTTAAATAATAACGAAATTTTAGGCAACATATAGCAGACTCGTGTAACATAATTTGAACCAATAGTTGCGCAATAATGATTTGTTAATTGTATCTGTAAACGTATCTGTCGCGCCAAGGATTTCCTGCGATAAGCACCACGCTTCCCTACATTTTTTTTGTTTCATAGAGACTGCATCTCGCGATAAGAATGCAAAGTGACTGTGCTCAATCAAGTGACGATACAATAACTGAGAAATGTATGAAAATATCATTCATCGTTTTCTGTCCCTTCATATTGACTTCGAAACGAATAGAAGTTGCGTAAATGAATTCTATCAGAATCCGTTGAAAAATATTTCAATTACAGATGCTTTACGTTGACCTTTCACGACCGAATTAATTTTCTATTTTCAAGTTTTTGATGAAATGTTTTTCAATAATAAAATACATGCTGAATCATTTAGCGCCGGTTTTACCAAACTCTTGGTAAATTAACTAATAGTTAAATTGTACATCTATCTTTGCCTACTTTGAAGGAAAAGCAAAGACATATATAAGATTTAACTATTAGTTAATTGACCAAGAGACCCCGAGTCTTAAAAATTTTTTAAGTGGAACTTTTATATGTCCCAATAGGCATAAAAGGGTTAATTAAAATATATAAATCTTGTGATCTTATGCAAATATAAAACATAACAAGTCGCTGAAGACAAAATTCCAATTTTTAACGTTGAGTAATTTCGTAACTTTGACTCTCCGAACATCAAACGACCGTCTTGCTTCAGCTTCTAAATTCAGTCCTCATGTCGATGATCCAGAGGAAACGCGCGACGTTTAGAATACCCTCTCTTTCTCTCCCCCTCTATCTCTCTCTTTCATCTTATATGGGACACATTAACGCTCTTCCAGGTTATCGTACATGACGCAAGCTGTTATGCTGTCTATGCCAGGCACGATTATACTGCCTTCCGCTTTTCTTCTCATTGACGACAGCTTTAAGGTCAACACGTGAAGATGATCGAGAATAGTAGCAACATTACAACGATATACAGACTTCGTGACGACTTCTTACAGGACATTCAATGGTATTTTACGCCGATAATTGTGTTTCTGGGCCTGCTGGGTAACTGTTTGTCCATGTGTGTATTCTTCGGCACGAAGCTACGTTATTCGTCATCCAGCATTTACTTGGGTGCGCTGGCAATAAGCGACAGCGGCTTCCTGGTGGCAGTTTTCGTGCCCTGGTTAAGAATATTGCAGGTGGATCTGTTCAATCGACACGGCTTCTGCCAGTTCTTCATTTATCTCGGCTACATCTGTAGCTTCCTCAGCGTGTGGCTCGTAGTAGCCTTCACCGTTGAGCGATACGTGGCGGTCAAGTGGCCGCTTCGTCGGCAGGTCTGGTGCACGGTGGCCCGAGCGAAGATGACAGTGACGGGACTAACAGTATTAGCGAGTCTGCTGACCAGCCCGGTGCTCGTGTTTTCCACAAACACTGGAAACTCGACCGGCTGTGGCTTAGACATGAACTGGAAGTCCTGGGCAAAAGCCTACAACACCCTCGATGTTGTCATGACGTTCGCCATGCCTCTTACCATGATAGTGATCTTCAATACACTGATAGCGCGCAACATCTACAGGCTCAACCACGTCCGAAGAACTCTGACTATTGAATCCGATGTTTCCAACGATAGGGCTCATACTCCGAGGGACAGAATGCCGCAGACTAAAGTCACGAAAATGCTTCTGATCGTCTCGAGCGCGTTCTTCTGCCTCAATATGCCTGCATTCGTTTTCAGGGTGATCGCATTCCTCTATGTACGTATCGATATTTAACACTAGCATCAAATACTTTTCTTATAAAACGTGAATTCTGAATAATGAATGAGTATTATTAATTAAACTTCTGAAATTTATACATTTTTTTTTAATAATTTCCGACGTTCAATCAATCTAATTTAATACACTCTCACACTGTACACTGTTAAATCTGTTGCGTTAGATTTGACTTAATGATAAATCGCCGCTGCTCAATGTCATTAATTTGGATCGAGTAGCAGGTGTCGTTGTTTTTCAACTACATTTTGTGTTAAAAGAAATTTTGACACACATGGTAATTAAAAACAACAACATATCGACTCATTATTGAGACAAATTTAATACTGCAAATTTAAGTGTGCAGTACTTTTGCAAAGTCTCATATTTGCACGATGAAATAAGTACATACCGCAATTTATATTATTTTCCAGTGTTGATACTTTATTGATTTACGATATTAACTAGATAAATTTTGATGTACTGTTAAAGAAGTTATTATGTCAATATATAATGTTAATAATCACTATATATGCAAATTCAGGAAAATAGTAAACCACCGATATGGTTCATGTCGGCGCAACAAATGTGCCAATTATTATTCGAAACGAGTTTCGGAATAAACTTCATTCTTTACTGCGTGAGCGGGCAGAATTTTCGCAGAGAGATGGTTAGCATGTGTACGAAGCGCTCAAGTACTGGGAGAAGTGGCACTCTCATACAGATGGCGAGTCATGGAAAACAGTGTGGTGAGCACGTAACTTAATTATCCAATTATAATAAAATAACATAACGACAAAATATGTGTGTGCAGATTATTGCATTGATTGAAAGATTCGTTTGTTTTTCTGTTCCTGGATTAACAAGTAAAGAAAACACGATTGATTAATTCGAAATGTTTGCAGTTTCAGAATTCACGCGCAGGTACAGCTCAACGAAACGGCCGCACCTTGTCGACAAAGAGCAACAGAAAGACTCTCAGGAGACGCAAAAGCTCCCAATAAATAAAGAATTATGATACAGTAACTCATCACTTTCAAATGACTGATTGTGAGTAAATACGTGTTAGCAGACAATCAGAGAACGATGTGTAATGTACCGACAGTACCGAGTATTACACTGCACAGATACGAGGGCATAGACTGTAAGCTTACCAGCTTCGAGTTCTGTGGCTGGAAGCGGACCCACATTTCCAAAAAAGCGTTGGTCCAACAGTTGAAGAAGCTGAAGCGCCGCATCGTGGACCGGAGCGCGGGGGCATCCTGTATTCATTAATGTTACGTTGATGACACTCGTGTAATGGTCGCAAGGATACTCCCTGAGCAAAAGCAAAATCACATAGACATACTCACTTATTGTCGTACTATTTATTTATTTTGTTATTCTATCCGCGGCTTGTATTCCATCGAGAAATACGTGTCTCGTAGACTTTTACTCGCTAGAATGTATATATCGTATTTTCCCCTACTACTCCTAATAAACGTTTTTGTATGAAACATTTATTCTATATTGATACTCTGGATTCGTTCGTACCTGGCGCTGAAAATCGTTGCCAACGCGAGAAAACAGCCATCGGCCACCTGCGGTGCTCCAGTATAACATCGATCCACCACCCAGTCCAAAAGTGTACCGATATCGGGATTTCCCTCGAGCAACAACACGACGGTTTCGCGTGCAAGCGTATAAATCTGAAACAAGAGATGATAGAAAGAGAAATAAAATACATATAACGTGTTAACATTTAATGTGTAATATAATGTATTATTAATTGCCGTTTTGCATGTAATCTTTAATGCTAACGCCTGCACGTGCTTGCAGATAAACTCTTATATGAGACAATTTATGAAACTTACCTTCTCGTCTTTACTGGCCAGTAACAAGTCCAGCCATTGATACAAAATCGCGCCCTCCTCCGAGAGCGACTGCGGATTGAAGCACGACCCGCAACAGAGTAATCCGCTCATAGCTTGCAAGGCTGAGAGCTGCAATTCCGTGCAAGACTTTTCCTCCTCTTGCATGGAAGACGTGCTCGTGAGCGGCCGGCCGTAAACACCGGCCCAACTAGCGAAGAGCATGAATAGATTTCTCCTCAAGTCCCTCTTTAACAAAGTGTAGCAGATCTCCACTAGAAAAGTAAGAAAAAAAAGAGATGATTGATAAATTTCTCTCCTCTTTAAAGCGCAATTCTATCTCGTTCATTTGTCCTGAACGCATATTTTAATTTCGGAATTCGGGAGTAAGGTCGCTTACGTGAAAAGCTCTTGATCATCTTCCTCATGAAGTTGCAGAAGTGCAACTTGATGTCTCGCACGGCGGGCGCTTCCTTGTCGGTCTCGTTTTCCAGGTAAACGCGCGCACCGTCTATGTACTCGACGAAAGTCGGATGCAAGGACTGCGTCTCGCGATCTAGTACCGCTGGGCTGGAAGGACGATATTTTTTCAGATCCAGTTGAGGGGAAAGATGAGAAAAAACGGTACAAAGTGATGCGCGAACTAACCAGATGCCGAACGTCCCATACTCTGCGATCAATTCCAGCACTCTTACCAGCTGCAGTCTCAGAGCGTCGCGTCTTCTTCGCCGCCTCATATTCTCCTGCTTCCGATCGACCGCTTCCCGGATGTAAGGTACCAGTTCCTCCATCAAGTCTCTGCATCAAAAAGAGGATCCTTTTACTATTTAATCTTCCCAGTCGTCCTCAGATCGGTAACGCACTTACTTTAGAGCGTCGGCGTTCACTTTCCCAATCGCCTGCACCGCGGCATCCCTGACGTCGACGGCCTCGCATCTCAGCAAGGGTACGGTCAGCTTGTACAGGGCCGCGGGACTCGCGTTTGTCCCCGGTGACTTGTTGTCGCCACGCTCCGCGGACAGGCTGTCGGGCGAGGAGCTGCGGAAACGAGACTGTTGCGTTTCACCATGTTTTCATTGCGTTACTGAGGCCCGGTTTCACCAACGCGAGTTAATCTAATCGGTCGGTTAACTTGACAGGGTGCCAACATAAAACTTCTTTATT